TTCTTCTGGACCAGGAGACAAAAGATTGTCTTACGAATTGACATATTTTAGTGGAGTATTTTCAATCAACTCTACAACCTGCAATGTCTGAATTAGAATATCCAATAATCTTGAAATAAGTACCACATCTAGAAAACCATATTCCCAACTTTAGGTTCCTAGAAGATATCTAAGAATTCTTTTAGTAGCACTCATGTGGGATTCTTTGGGATCAGCCTAAATTCTAGTACAAAGGCAAACACAAAAGTTAATATTACGTCTACTAGCAGTTAAGTAAAGGTGTGATCCAATTATTTCTTTATACTTCTTCTAATTAAATATTTTTTCATTTGGTTCCTTATCTAATTGAATATTAGAGCTCATGGGAGTATTTATTGCCTTAGCATTATCCATTTTATATTTCTTAAGGATGTCCTTAATGAATTTTTATTGACTAAGGAAAGTTCTATCACCCTTCTGCATCACACTAAATCCTCAAAAAAATGTTTAGCTCTCCCGTCATGCACATCTCAAACTCCTCACTCCTAATTTTTAAGAATTTATGACAAAGATTTTTATTTGTAGATCCAAACAGTATATCATCTATATAGATTTGAACTATGAGTCGGTCTTCTCCTTCTTTCTTTAGGAATATGGTGGTGTCTACACTATTCTTAACAAAACTGCATTTAGAAGGAATGTGCTCAACCATTCATACCAGACTCTAGGTGCTTTCTTGAACCCATAAAAATCCTTCTTTAGTTTGAATAAATGATTAGGGAGTTTAGAGTTCTCAAAGCTTTGGGGTTGCTCAACATATACATCCTCTTTAATTACCCCATTTAGGAAGGCACTTTGGACATCCATTTGATATAGCTTTAATCCTTTAAAGCAAGCAAAGGTTAAGAGCACTCTAATGGCTTCTAGTCTAGCTACTATGCAAAGGTCTCTTCAAAGTTAATACCTTCAATCTAATTGTACCACTTTGCTACTAATCTTACCTTTTTCTCACTATTATGCTAGAGTCATTCATTTTGTTCTTAAAAACTCATTTGGTTCCTATAACACTCTAAAGTTTAAGTCTTCTCATTAACTCCTAAACATCATTCCTAAAAAAGTTATTCAAATCTTCTAGCAGTGCTATGATAAAAAATTCATTAGGTAGGGATTGATCTATATTGGTGGGTTCTATCATGAAGATAAATGCAGAATTACTAACTTCCTTCACATGTCCATACCTATTTCCGACACCTTTATATGGGCCACTTAAGATCAGCTCTTTAGGATGACTAGATGAGTATCTTAATTCCTTAGGCAGGGGTACCTTAGATACTACTATATCTCCTAGAACATTGGATTCTACCCCTTGAATAAGCTATATAACTTCTTCTTCTTGTTTAGATTCATAGGTCCGATCGAATTACTCAAACATAACATAGGTAGACTATACTACTACTAAGGTCCTCTTATTGAAGAATTTATAGGCCTTACCTACAAATGAATAGCCTAAGAAGACACCTTCGTTAGACTTAGGATCAATTATTTCTAAGGACGATTTACCATTGATCAGGAAAAAACATCAACACCAAAAGTCATGTAAGTCAGAAATATTAGGTGTCCTACCCTTAAGGAGTTCATTAGGTATTTTATTTAACATGGATCTAGCATTCACCCTATTCAAATATAACAAGTAGTATTTACTACTTCTAATCAAAAGTATCCAGGGAGAGAATATTCCGCTAGCATGGACCTAACTGCTTCTACCATAATTTTATTTTTTTCTCTCAGCTATTTCATTCTGATGAGGGGTCCTAAGGGCAGAAAAGTTATGCTCTATCCCTATCACTTGACAAAAAGATTCAAATTTTACATTTTCAAACTCTCCACCATGATCACTATGAATGTTTGATATTTCACATCCTAATTATCTTTGTATTCAATTGGAGAAGGTTCTAAGCTCCTCAAATGATTCACCTTTCTGTGCTAGGATTCTAAAGCAAGTGAATCTAGAATAGTCATCTACTATTATAAATCCATATAATTTCCCTCCCTGGACGATTGTATTAATTGGTACAAATAGGTCTATATAGAGAAGTTCTAGTGTCCTAGAGGTGTTGATGTCTTTGATTGAATGAAATGAAGACCTAACTTATTTTTCTAGTTGACAAACATCGCATAGGATATCCTAAGTGAAGTTTAACTTAGGTATGCCTATTGTGATGAGTTTTGGCACTGTACTATAATAGGTCTTTTTTTTTTTTTTTTTTTTTTTTTTTTTTGGTTTTTTTTTTTTTTTTTTTTTTTTTTAGGTGTATTTAGTTTTTCTTGTAGGAATTTATTTGCACTTTCTATAATGGATACTTCTAGTTTTAATACATGTTCACTATCATTTATCTTTTTTGCACATGCCTCTAAGTTTATGAATGAGTTTTCTAATTCACATGATTTATTTTAAAGGAATCATTTGAAGTAGATATTTAACATGCTTCTTATTTAAAATATCAAACTCATCAACTAAAGACATGTGTTTTCTATCTAAGCTAGAATGTTTATTTATTAGGCAAGTATGCTCTTTTTGTAAATTAGTAAAATCATTGTTAAGATTAACATAAATCTTTTTTAGTTTCCTACATGTATCATGAATTTTCTATGAAATTATAAATAGTTCATCATAGGAAAGTTGACATACCTCATATTTATCTGATTGATCAAGATTATTGTTAGCTATAAGACACAAGTTTGTTACCTCCTCCTCTTCTCCTAGTTCTGATGATTCAAAGGAAAAGTTGGCCTAAAATGCCTTATGTGTGCAGTTCTTCCACTTCCTAAATTTCTTTTTTTTTTTACCAATTTTCCTGACTATAAGAGTCTTCAGATTGCGATAGTCTATTCAAAGATGTCTTGGTCCTTCATTTAAATTATATTATTTTAGATGATGCTATGAAATTTATATTACTTTTACCTTTTGACCACTATTATTGATGACGCCTTTATTTCCTCTTTAGAAAACTTTTTAACTGATAGGTCATCAATGCAATGTCATTTTCCTCCTATGCTATAGAACTATCATTATATGAGTCTTTTTCTTTTAGAGCTACCGTATTTTCTTTCTTCTTATCACCAGTATCATTTAGTATTTAACTCAAGACGTATTCATAGGCACTGAGTGACTCAAGAAAATTATTAATAGAGTACATATTCAAATCCTTTGACTCGAAAATAGTAGTAACTTTAGCATTATACGAACTAGGTAGGCATTGAAAAATCTTATTGAATTTTTTAGAATGAAAAAGTTCTCTACCTAGTACATGTAAGGATATTACTATCTTGGGAAACCTAATGTACATTTTAGATACAGTCTTGTTTGGTTTAAAGAAACAAAGTTCATAGTCATGAAGAAATATGTTTAGCCTAAACTATTTAACTTCACTAGTTTTCTTATATGTAATGCACAGTTTATCCCATATCTTATTCTCGTACTATAGTTAGATACTCACATATAATCCTCTTATTATAAAGCACATAAAAAATATTTTAAATACTTACCATTTAATTGTGCGAGTTCTCTATCCTCATAACTCCATTTAGTAAAGGGAATATAATTTTGACACCATTAACAACATGAGATGATAGGGAATAATTAATTTGAATCATATGCAAAATTCTATAGTAAATGGACTGCAGAAATGCAGACATGAAAATTTTTTAAAAGCTAAACGCGATGCTTTCAAATAATGGTCGATGGGTTAAGGAATAACCCTAAGTAGTATTCGTATTACCAAAATGTGCCATTAGATCTATACTTAAAGATTTTAAAATCTAAATTTCAAGGCCCTTCCAATATCAATTAAAATTTCAATAATGATAATAAGCCTAAGTGAACTTGTCCCTAGACACACCAAAAGGATTGTGAATTGGTGAATTTAAAAAAATAATTGCTTGATTTAAAAATAAAGACAATAATTTTGGTTTTTTTAATATTTGAAAAATAAGTAATAATTATCACTTAGTGCAGAAGCGAACAAATTTACCAAAACATCTAAGCAATGATAATGATATTCTAATCAATAGAACAAAGCATTGAGTATGATTTTCACCAAGCAGTTATAACTAAATTAAAATGTAAAAAGGAAAAATGCAAAAATAAAAATTAGAACAAACACACAAGAGATTAATAGTGGTTCAGTAAAATAATGACCTATGACAACTCTTTAGAGTCCTCCCCTTTGATTATTGTACTATAACAATAGTGTCTCTCCTTTTGCCCCCCCCAATAAGGTGGAGAATCCCTTACACAAATAACTTCCATAAAATATGGTGTGGCAGAGAGCTAGAAGCTTTTTCACCCTTCTAGTGGTGGCAGTGAACCTTCAATCATTTGTCTCTCTCTTAGAGAAACCTAAGAATCTCAAACTCTTATTTCTCCCTCTTAGAGAAGGCAGAGAACCATAAACTTCATTCTCACCCTCCTGGTTAAGGTAGAGTACCGCATCCTTGAGCTAAAGAATTTATCGCCAAAGCTACCCAACAAGCCAAGACAGACACTTGGAGGAACAAGGCATGACACTTGCTTAGAGTAATTATGTGAACCTATCATACTACTTCTCCCTCACACGCAAGCTCTCCCTCTTTTTCCCAAATATCTCCTAGATCTTCTTTTCAAAGCTCCCTCTCAAGAACACCCAGTAGCCAAAGACTTAAAACAAGACACTTGAGAGAGTTTAAATCCAATTCTTTGGACTCTGATCATATAATACAATCCTGGATTTGTTGCGGATCAATGGTATATGATTTTGATGAGAGAAAACATTCTTATTTCTCTACGACTACTTTATGTACTGACATTTCAGGTTCACACGATCGGACTGCAATTTGAAATCAGCTCAAGATTGGGTAGACTAGGTCTGAGTCTGTTTATACATTTTTTCCTTTCTTGAGTCTATTATAATTGGTGTGGCTCCTGATGTTTTGTAACTTGGAAGATTTTACATTTCTTTTTGTATAAGGTAATAATCCAATATCTTAATGATGGTGTATGCTTTACTTCAATCTACATATTTGCATGAATTTTGATTGCGACAGATTCTTCTTCTGAAAACCTTCGCAAGTCAAGCATCTTCTTTCACCCAACCGCTTAATTCCTTCCACTAAGCAACGGGTAAGGAGGTAAAGGACGCTCCTTGCATTTGTCTTATTGGTTCTGAGTATTGATTGGACTGTTTGAGTTTCCATTCTACCTTTCATTTTGTTCTTTCTTTTAATTTTTATTTTGTTTTAGCGAAGCTATCATTCACTTCGTTTCTTTTTCTATCATCCAATGCCGTCATCTCCTCGCCATAATGTTCAAAATCGCGTTTTTTATTGCTTTCACCGCGATTTTTCATTGAGTTCATGAGGTCCCCTTCATTTCATTGTTGGTGTTGTTCATCTTTCAAATTCCTTCATTTACTTCGGATTAGGATTTAAGTGTCTGGAAAAAAATTTTCACTTGCTCTTTGGGCTGGGAGTAGTGATGACAGACTGATAGGAAATCGCTGATTAAAAAAAAAAAATCAAAA